CGAAGGGCATACACGTAAATTCCCCACGAATCTAATGGCCGTATAAAAATACCAGTACTTAGTGAGTTAAAACCGAATTGCATAGTCAGTTGGTTTCAAGCGAGGGCTTCAGATGGCTCCGCAGCTGGGAAGTTTCCAAAAAGTTGAAGTCACTGTTCAAAACGTTTTCATTCGAAATCACCATCCTCATGACGAAGCAACGTCAGCAGAGTATCCGCCGACGTTCAACTTCTGAGACGGATTTGACGCGGTTGCTAGTATAACAACCTTGTTCGGCTGACGTTTCGGAATCATGTAGGAACCCATCGTCGGAGGTGACACCAGATAGGACGATTCGTGCACTTGTCTTTCTTGTACTGGCCCCACGATAATTCATCAAAAGACCGCATATGCTTGTCAAGTGGTCATATGCACTTTTTTATGGAAATTTTCGAAAGTAAAAAACAAATACCAAGTTATACGGGCAACAACGGAATTACAGATTTGTTGTGTTTAGAGCGTTGATCAGCATATGAAATGATGCCCACTTTTCAGATAATTTGTCTGGCTTTGTGGTAATTTGTTTTTCACTTCGATCAGTTGTTTGTCACGCATGTAGCTGTATCTATTTCAAAGTCCCGAAGGACTCTTTAAGAAAGAATGCACGTACATTTCTCACCAATCTAATGGCCATATAAAAAGACCAGCACTTAATTTGTTAAAACCGAATTGCATAGTTAGTTGGGTTCGGGTGAGGGCTTCAAAAATCTCATCAGCTGGGAATTTTCCAAAAAGTTGAAGCCACTGTTCCAAACTCTTTCCCTCGAAACCATCTTCCTGATGGCGAATCACCGTCAGCGGAATATCCGCCGACGTCCGCCTTCTGAGACGGATTTGACGCGGTTGCTGGAATAACAACCTTCTTCGACTGACGTTTCGGAATCATGTCGGGACCCATCGTCAGAGCTGACGCCAGATAGGATACTTCGTGACCTATATTTGCCAGGTAAATTTCTTTGCCTGACACCCGCAAAGTGGAGTTTTCCTTACTAATGAGAAGCGCGTGAAACAGCATTTCCTTACAACTGCTGGCTAGATCGCAGTTGGTAGCCAGGCCCCCTATTACAGGTGGCTGGGGGATTTGTTTTCTGGGGCTATTTTGTGGCGCTCCATAATCACATCTGACCCATTTGGCTTCCGTTTTACGTTTGGGGTTAGGATTAGGGTACCGGTTAATGGTTTCCGATTTTCGGGTTAGAGTTATGCCTTAAGGTTTAGGTTTTCGGGTTACGGTTAGGGTTTGGGCGTACGATTAGGTTTCAGTATTACGGTTAGGTTTTCAGTTACGGCTATGTCTAAGGGCTACGGTTCCGTTTAGGATTTCGGTTAGGGTTAAGGTTAGTGTTGCCCTTAAGGTTAACGGTTAACGTTAAAGGTTAAGGTTGGGGTTAAGGTTAGGATTAACGTTAAGTTCGCCGTCCGCTTCCCCATTCCTGACTACCAACTGCGATCTAGCTCAACTACTGGTCAAGAGAATCGAATGACCTAAACGACTGAGAGCATGAGAGACAGCTGTTCAGGTCTTTCGTTGATATTTCCCCCCTACGGTCGGAAGAGGAGTAGCTTTGTCAAAAAGATGTATTTTTTAGGCTGTAGGTCAGTTGGCAGAAGGCTTATTCTCTCGGGAGGCTTGTTAGTTCTCTTTGGTTTCCATCAGGCGAGGCAGAACGTAGGTGCTGACCAGCATGGGGACGGGAGTG